TTGGTTTCCACAAATATGTAATATGGAATTTTATTGGCATTTTGGCTAGCATTTGTTTATAAACTCTACCTCGTCTTTACCTCTAGTGTGGTTGTGGTCAGCCGTTACCTCTAGTGTGGTTGTGGTCAGTCGTTACCTCTAGTGTGGTTGTGGTCAGTCGTTACCTCTAGTGTGGTTGTGGTCAGTCGTTATAATGGGATTTTGTTTTAGTTAAAATGATTAGTAGTCATATCTATCATTTGTAATGCGGTCTACATTAAGGTATGTTCGTTTTAAAGAAACTTTAAACACATTTTTTTAAACCGAGAAAAAAAACACTTTTTGCACGGAAGTCATAATTGGACGCGATAGTAATTAATCTTAATGTTTGTTATATATAAGAGCAACTGTGTAAGAAAACTAAAGGTTCTACATTTAGTCTATAAAAAATTATAAAACCGCTTACAAATTATAAAATACATTTAAACAAGTAATAGATTAATCAATTTGAATGTTATACAATTTTATAACGATATGATAATAAATAGTGTGAGGCGTATTTTTAAATTGAATTATTTTTAATATGTCTTCTGTTGGAAAAATATTTACTTGTTACTTCCCTTTAACTTACTGCTTTGAAATATGCAAATTTATCCGCACACACAGCTATCGTCAACATAATCACATGTACATTTCCTTACACACAATACAATCGTGGTTTATAAACATTTTTTATGGTTTTTAAGCATTTTTAATGTAACAATTTTTTTTAAACTCAAACAGGTATATATTTTCAAGGTGCACAAAATAAATCAACATCACTGTGTTCAAAACAAAACCACCAAAATATTATATGAGTATCACACAAAGACAAAACATTATAAAGAATATTTACTGAAAATCAGTGCGAATTCTGCTGTTGCTTTTCTCACACGGCTTCTCCATGAATTCAGCGAGCGTTGTTTATTTTCCATATCAATGTAGCTTATGATAGTGTTCTCGTAGTTTTACCTGTGCTAGACTAGAATTGTTACACTTGGCATTACAGCTCTTGCAGTTTAGCGACTGACCCATAACCAATCCATACCTCACACATAATAAATAAGTATATAACTGATAAGGAAACGTATTACTATTTAGTTTGCTTCTACTGTGTAAGTTTGTGCATAGCCCGGTGTAGTTGCATTCCTGCCTTAAAGAAAAACTAAAGAGCGCAGATAAACACCTAGTGGTGTGCTTGAACCTCGATAAGATATAGATAGGGGTTAGGTTTGGGCCCAAGTGTATAGTAATGTATATACCGGCGAAACTAATTCTTGTTTGTCAGAGTATCACTTGATGTTTGATTTTTTTAAACTCAAACATAGGTATATATTTTCAAGGTGCACAAAATAAATCAACATCACTGTGTTCAAAACAAAACCACCAAAATATTATATGAGTATCACACAAAGACAAAACATTATAAAGAATATTTACTGAAAATCAGTGCGAATTCTGCTGTTGCTTTTCTCACACGGCTTCTCCATGAATTCAGCGAGCGTTGTTTATTTTCCATATCAATGTAGCTTATGATAGTGTTCTCGTAGTTTTACCTGTGCTAGACTAGAATTGTTACACTTGGCATTACAGCTCTTGCAGTTTAGATAATGGCTCATGTCAATCTATTTTGTCTTTATTTGTCTGATCGTTTTGTGTTTATTTTTCTCGTTATAGGATTAAGCTATTAATTGTATTGAAAAAGAAATCACACGACGTACCACCACGACAGTCGAATGCTAGGCCACAATATAGACATTTCTGACCCAGCGGTTTCTAAACATTTTGTTGCAGCATCAATCCTAATATATAATTCCCCATGTGCGCACTTCTCTCTCTCTCTCTCTCTCTCTGTCTGTCCGCAAAATATTTTCGCCGGACATCACGTCAGAAACGGCAGCGATATATGGAGAACTTTATACGGACTTTTGTTGAAAATAATATGTTAGATGTTTTAAATGTATAACCACAATTTTATTTAAAGAAGAAAAATAAAAATTAAAGGCGTATTCGAATGTAGAGAAACAGTATTATTTATGCAACCGGAAAAGCATTAATAGATGTGAAAAGAACGCATAAAACTGTGACGTCACTATTGCTTATACATTAACTAATGACGTCATCTGCCGTGTTTAGAATAAAAAGAAATGAACTATTTCATTCAAATTTGATTTAGATCTACGTACACTATGAAATGTATACAATACAATTTTTCCGGCCTAAACTCATAAAATTTATTTTATTTATTTGGATTCTAGATCTAGATATTCTAGATTCATCTATTCAAATAATACATTTCTATACTAAAGTATTTCAGGCCTTAATTACTTTATTGAAATCTTTGTTTATCTATGCAATTTGCTAATCTCTATAATATATAAAGCAAAGTTGTCGGGTGCCCGATAGGGTACTTCCCGGTGCCGCAGGCGCTTCAAATTTGGCAGGATCTTGCCTTGGGGCGACAGAACACGGGGGCCGGTTGGCCGAAAAGTCTACGATGATGGGGTCAAAACTGATCTCGACTGACCGGCGCCTTATATGAGCTATAAATCGAAAAAAAAAATGTCCACGGAGGAACCTCTTCATAACTCCTGAGGTCGTAGACCGACCCTCGGGCAAATTAATTAAGCATTCAAATTCTCAATGTTTTCGAAAGCCTAAGCAAAGCTGGACAGCATGCCTAGTCTTAAACAGTGTTTCTTCCAGACTTTTTTCTCCGGGGGGGCACTTGAAATCTTCGGGAATGGGGGCGGTAAACTTTCTTCGGGGGGGCGGACACTGTTAAAAGTATATATTTTCTATATAAATTATATAAATTTAATTTCGTTCGGGGGGGGGGGGGCAGTAAAAAAATTTCGGGGGGGCTTAGCCCCCCCCCCCCCCCCCCCCCCGAAGAGATGCCTGGAAGAAACTCTGGTCTTAAAATAAACACCAAAGTCTTGTCGCCTCACCCACAGCCAATCCCTAACTAGCATAGAATAATCTAATATATAAAGCTCAGTTCTGTATGTAATGCATTTGTATGTCGTTGGAATTGTACGAATTTAAAAGTTAGAAAATTATCGTGCGCATTTGTCTAAATTTATGAGCTAAAAAATTACTATTGAAAGTGTTGGGAAATAATTTTCATTTTTCAAATTATAGTAATAATTGTCGGCATGTTCATTAAACACAAGTTTTAAAAAAAATATCATCTTTTACAAAAATTCTAATTATGTCTTTATTTAGTCCTATAGCACTTACTTCCCTTTGATAAATTAGGAAAAACACAATTACTTCCCTTTATAAAACCATTGCATTCCGTGAAAATAATTTACTTTTTAATTACTTTGTTTTGGTGTTGGGAAAAAAAATAATTACATAATTAGCGGGGATTGATCAAGTGCAAATGTTGTAGGTATTTTACGGATAAGCTTGGAGTATTAAAATTGTTTATTAAATTGAAACAGGCGCGTTCGTTTAAGTGAGTGCAAAAGACTGTGAATAAGTTGGGGTACTATAGTCGTTCATTAAGCTAAAACAGGTGATTCCGCCCCGGGCGTTTATGTTCGCGTTAGTGTTTTCTTTGTGTTTAGGTGGGTTTGCGTTAGTGGTTGCGTTTTAATTTGGTTCGTTTTTGTTCTTTCTTTTTTCGTTTTTGTTTGTGTTTTTTTTGTTTGGGTTTGTATTTGTGTTTTTGGTTGGTTTTGCGTTTAGATTTGGTTTGTTTTCGTTTGCTTTTTTCGTTGATTTTTTTTTGTTGGTATTGGTGTTTGTGGTTGGGTTTGTTGTTAGGTTTTTGTTTTCGTTTGCTTTTTTGTTTGTTTTTTCTTTGTGTTTGTATTGGTGTTTGTGGGTGTGGTTGTGTTTGTTGTTAAGTTTTTGTTTTCGTTTGTATTTGTAATTGTGTTAGCGTTATGTTTGCGTTTTGTTGTTTTGGTTTTGGTTGGTTGTGGTTTGGGTGGGCAATGCTAGGTTTATGATGATTACTAAACACACAGGTAATGGTCTTTAACAGAAAGGTTTTTCACAGAAGCCAGAGCAGGGCTTGGCCGGGACGGCTAGTTAACTATATAACTGATAAGGAAACAAGTATTTCCATTTTTCTCCATGTCCACAACATCTCAACTGTATTAGTTTGGACATAGCCCGGTGTAGTTGTATTCCTGCCTTAATAAAGAAAAACTAAAGAGCGCAGATAAACACCTACTGGTGCGCTTGAACCTCGATAAGATATAGACAGGGGGTTAGGTTTGGGCCCACGTCTATTGTATTTTATGTACCGGCTAAACTAATTCTTTTGTGTCATCTTATTGCTGTTGCTTTCCGAAAATGAATTGATTAATATTTATTAATATCGCTCAAATTTATTTTAATACGCTGTCAAATTCGTTCGTCAAAAGTAATGTTGCATTACAAATGTTATTCGTGTAGGCCTATGAAATGTTGCTATCGTTTATTTCATGTTTGCAACACTTAATGATAATGAGAATTATTTTTTATGACTAACATCAAATTCAAAGTCATATTTTCTGTATCCACATTGTGACCTCAGTGCAAAATTCATCATTTTATCATAAAGATTAGTGGTCCTTGTGAACAAGAATTTTATGACCAACATCAAATTCAGGTGGCTAATTTCCTGAATGAGACTCCTGATGTTGAGATAGAGAAGATTTCCAAGAAAACATTTTATAACACACATCACATTCATGTGGATTGCCTCAATGAATCTTTTTATGTTCCAATAATTTATCTTTCCGAGTATACTTTTTATGACAAACATCACATTCTTGGGGCCTAAGTCCAGAGTGAGACATTTGATGATGAATTAAATTAGTTTTTGAATCAAACTTTTTATGACACACAACACATGCATAGGGCATAAGTCCAAAATGAATCTTTTTATGTTCCAATAATGTATCTTTCCCAGTATACTTTTTATGACACACATTACATTCATGTGGTACAATTTCTAAATGAGAATTTAAATGGTTAGACATACTACGCTTACTACTAAATTTTTCATGACACATATCACACACATAGGGTTTGTATCTATAGTGAATAATTTTGTGTTAAGATAAATCACACTTCCTAGCAAACTTCTTATAACACACATCACATTCATGAGGTCTCACACCTAAATGAATATTTTTATGATGAGATAAATTAGATTTCTGACAAACATCACATTCATAGGGCTTGAGATTAGAATGTGTATTTTTATGGTCAGATAAAGTTCTCTTCAGACTGAACTTTTTATGACACACATCACATCTGTCTTTTGTCTCCTGAATGAATCTTTTCATGTACAGATAAATAACTTTTCTGACTAAACATTTTATGGCAAATGCCACATTCATGCTTAAGTCCATAGTGAATATTTTTGTGTGTATATATAAACCAAACTTCCCAGCAAACTTCTTATAACACACATCACATTCATATGGTCTGAGACCTGAATGAATATTTTTATGCCTTACTAATTGACTTTTCCATCTAAAACTTTTAAGACACACATCACATTCATATGGCCTAAGTCCAGAGTGAATGACTTTGTGTGCATATAAACTAGCCTTATGAGCAAACTTTTTATGACACACATCACATTCATTGCATCTGTCTTCAGAATGTAATTTATGCAGAGAAAACTTCTTGTTTATTTTCTTAAGCTGTTTTACATGACTGTTCATAGCACCTTGTTGCTGATGAAAATCATACCCATATGAATTCTTTCTTGTGTGAGTTTTCATATGTTGTGTAATATGATGAAAATGAGTAAATCTTTGACAACACATATCATTCTTATGTCTTCAGTCCCTTATCCCTGAACTCAATCATTGTTGGAAAATTATCAATAACTTCTTTATGCATTTCCTTGAGTTCTTGTAAATCATGATGAAGATCTGATTTTAAAATTGTAAAATTTTCAATAAAAGCATCTGAATCTGGTAAATATTCAAGCTGTCTTATAACATCTAAGCTATTTTTGTTTTCACCCTTAATTGATGAAAATGTTAAGATACCCTTTTTCATAACATCACACCTTAAAAATTCTGTTGAAGCATTTGGTTTCATATCTTTAGAAGAAGAAAATGTTTCATCTGATTGTTGATCTGAAGTTGAAAATGCAACTGTTTCATTTGACTTGTCTTCAAAAGGTGAAGATTGTGATGCCATATTTTGTTTGATAACATTTGAAGTTGAAATCAATGTTAAATTTGGTTTCACATCTTCTAAAGAAAATTGCCAATCTTACATCTGATTTTAAATCCATAAATTGTATTGCTTGATCATTTGATTCCTGTTTAACCACAAGTGCACTTTGTATAGACATGGCTGATTTGCCCAGTCTGTTCTGCAAAAATTGTAATGGATGGCTAAAAAAAGAGAAAATAAAAATAGATATGAACAGAAAAATAAAATTATTTTTAAAAACATTTTTCCCCCCTAAAATATCTACATTTTAATACATCTACAAGTAAGAATAATATGTAAAAAGTTTGCAACTTTTATTAACTCTCTTCATAAATGTGGAGAGGTCCATTACTTTAGGCCTGACAATTTTTTAGTTTTAATAAAAAAAAAACTCCCTGGAAATTATTTAATACTTCAATGTGAATTATATTTTTTTTAAGATTTCAACTATTTAGTAACTCTTTTCATAAGATGTGGAGAGGTCAATTACTTTGGCCTAAGACAAAATTTAGTTATTTTCCTTAAACAATTGTTAACACTATGTGTGGTAAACCTTAACATATGAACTGTAAAATAAATACCAAGTATCTAGTAATTTAATGGAAAAAGCACAACTTGCAGTGTTTATTTTGTTTGAACGGTGTTCTAAACATCTTATACTAGTATATATGTATTTAATAAAACTAATGCGTAGCCTAGAGAGAACATAGCTAGTGATATTGTGTAATGTTTAAACAGCTCTCCTAAAGATATAATGTAGGTCTAATAGTAATATATATTTCAAGAGCTGAAAGAAGATATATATATATATATATATATATATATATATATATATATATATATATACATATATATATATATATATACATATATATATATATATATATACATATATATATATATATAGATATATGTATATGTATATATATATATATATATAGATATATGTATATATATATATATATATATATATATATATATATATATATATATATATATATATATATATATATATATATATATATATATATATATATATATATATATATATATATATATATATATATCTTCTTTCAGCTCTTGAAGTAGTTTTGTTTAAAGATTTAAATTTTGCTGAACATTTTCCCCCTTAATTTTAATTTTGGGGTAGTTAGAATCAGGTTCTGGATATACCTGTACAACCTGTCTATTGTTATACTGTACATTGTATTTAATTTTGTTATTGTTCTAATACAAACAATTATATATACATATTATTGTATAGGCTTATGATCAGAGGCTGGGGTTTACAGTAAATAATTATCATATCAATCAGTAGGCCTATATCTAATTTTCTCCTGTTATGGTATAGGGGTTCAAAAACAGTTCAAATATATTTGCTACAACCCTGCTTGCTTATCATAAATTTATCCTTGGTGTATGTATCTCCATGAAAGTGTTTACATCAGCCAATGATAGACACAATTTCAAATCCTGTTACTATATTTAGCTTGTATTTGTAGGCATACATATTTTTAGAATTTTTAATGGAAGTGTTAGAATTTTTAAGAGAGGTTAGTTTTATTTAATGTATTGTTAGTTTTTAATTATTGTTTCTAGCACTGTGTGAAAGAATAGATAGTGTGGCTGTTATCATATCACATATTGTTTTCGGTTTACAAACCTGTCTTAATTGTATTTTTTTAAATTGATATTGTGGAAAAAGGCATTAATATTATAATTTTTTAACAAATTATATTTTACTTAGTTTAGGGTTAGTGGTTAGGCTAAGCCCCTAAGGGTTAGGGCTAGGTATAGATTTAGAAAATACTGTTAGGCATTGTTAAGCCTATTGATTTTTTTCAAAGCAAATAGCTAGTGTCAGATAATTTCTGATGCTATATCGTGAGATTACAAAAATCTTAATACTTGTGTTGAGTTTCGTAAACATTCATTACTGTAAATTAGGGGTCTCCAAACTATGCGGGATGCTGGCCTTGAGGTCCTCTTATTCGGTCCGCGAAGAACTTTTTGTCCACAGAAAATAAATATTTGTAAGAGGTGGCTGAGAAAATGTGTCTAGAAAATTCAAAACAATTTGAAAATGTAGCTTTGGGTGCAAATACCATTGCCCGCCATGTTGTAGACATTGTTGAAAACATTGTGGATAAAATAGCGAAAAGTGCAAGCAAGTTTCGCCATTTTTCAATTGCAAAGGATGAGTTGCTGGACAGCTGTTCCACCTCTCAACTGCATGTGTTCATTAGAGGTGTGGATAAAGACTTAACACAAGAGCTGGCATCCCTACATAACAAGTATGGCAATGTTACCAGAGAGGATATATTCAATGAGTTAAAAACACATCTGCTGAATTAACTTGGACTGGACTAACCTCAGTTGTCTGACTATTGATTTGAGGAAAGTGCATTAGTGGCATAAATAAATGCTTGGTTGGACAAGCGAATGAGAAAAACATTGTACAACAAATGCTCCTGCACTGTATTATTCACAGCAAGCTTTGTGTGCTAAATATGTGGACACAAGCAGTGTACTGAATCCTGTGGTGAAGATGGTGAGTTTAATAAGGTCACATGGGCTCAACCATAGACAGTTCAGAGACATGCTGATAGATACAGACACAGAATCGCAAGAGTTACCATATTACACAGCAGCAAGATGGCTAAGTTGTAAGAAAGTTCTGAGCAGAGTACTTTATTTTCTGGGAGGGGGACTCCGCCACCCAGAAAAGATGGCCGTAAGAAACTCTGGCCCCAAAACTGATATTTGATAGCTAATGTGGCCCTCAGGTTGAAAAGTTTGGAGACCCCTGCTGTAAACCATAGTTTATTTGACTGTTGAACTATAAATAAAGTCAAGTGCATTCATTTTAACTTTAATTGACTGAAATTTTGCAAAAATTAGTAGACCTAAATAGTAATAGTAATGTCATATGTAGTAATTAATGTTTTATTAAGAAACACAGAAAAATCGCAGAAGATTTGTGGCAAGTAGATTCTAGATCTAGTAAAATAAGACGATTAGATTTACTTAAGTTTGAGGTAGTAAGAAGGAATAGATAAATGTTTAGAAGTAGCAATAATTAGCACATACTCTTAAAATAATTAGAAATACAAAATAATTAGCAAAACAGTATTTAAAATTTTCAAACATAATGTACTAAAAAAATATGGTGCAAAATAAAATATAGTTTACAGTACTTTCTGTGGTTTTGGGAATGGCATGACATAATATGCCATAGTTTTACTGTTTTTAACTGCTGTACCATTCCAGAATAATAACGATGCTATATCGTGAGATTACGGTTACCAAGAATTTTAACTGAATCAATGAAATAAGTATATTTTGACATACAGATCTATATTTAATATTTTATTATGTAGAGTAGTGTCTTCGTTTTTTGTGATACTGTAGACTACTATAGCTATAGACTTTCAGCATTTCCTCTACAACTATAATAATACTCGATTCTATAATCTATAAATTCCATCACATCCTGTCGAGGAAATAATTAATAAACAGTGCTCATTTTCTCTCATAATATGATATGAGACCTACTAGGTAGAGTATAGACTATAGGCCTATCTATTAATTAACTCTTAAATTTAATTAAATTCTATTATCTAGATCTAGTCCTAGTACTAGATAGTAGATCTAGGTTGATAGGCCTACATTTACAGTTTACACAAAAAAGCAATAAAACGAATGTCTGAATGTGCCATCATAGTACAGTAAAGAAATAGATCTAGATCTAGAAAGTCTAGATTCTAGTACTTTGTCTAGTAGTACGCTAAATAAATTTAATTTTCCGCAATCTTTTAAATCAAAAATTTAAAATTAACATACAGATAACTAAATAATAGATCACCATTAATGTTCAAAACCAGAAGTACTGTCCTAAAATTAACTTTTGACAACGATATTTAATATTTATTTGATCTAAGATTCTAAATTATTAAACGTTATTTTAGAATCTAACTGTTGATAGCAGTTGCAGCTGTCCCGTTATATTTTTATTATCTAGAGAGGTTTCCCCTCGTTAGGTCTAGATCAGTAGGGCTTAAACTGGATCTAGATCCAGTTTCAGCCCTGAATTATTTTCATGTTTGTAGTTTTGCCAGATTTTAACTTTCTAGAATATAGATTCTATATCTAGATCTACAAGGTATAGACAAAGTCTTGTATCGTGCAAAAAAAGGAATTAACCGGGAGTAATCTTTCCTAAACTTTCTTACAGGAGATGGCAACTCGGGACATAGACAATATTTTTAATCCATTTTAAATACTTCCACTTTTTAAAGTAGAATAAAATCTCATAGAAAAAAGAATTGCACGCAAAATTGAACGCCAAATAAAATGTGCATAATAGTGCGGACTATTATTAGTACTTAATAAATTCACATGCGTTTTTTTTGAGAAATCTGAAAAAGTGAAAATTACTACCTCCGGTCAACTGAAATTACTCAAAATTTGACAGAAGGCAGAAAATTAGATCTTTTACTTACATGTAAAATTTCATTTATCTATCTGAAATAGTGCTCAAGTTATAGGCTTTTGAAAAATTAAAAGTGTAGAAGAAGTTCCACTTCCGGTTATCGGAAATCGCTCAAATGTTGATACGGATTTACGATTTTGATATAATACTTATATATGAAATTTCATCAACCTAGCTGTAACGGTACTCAAGTTATCGTGTTTTACAGTTTTTCCAACTTCATTACCCATAAAGCGCCAAAATTTTTATAAATCTGGATTTATAATTTTTGCCCAATTAAAGTAAGTCCTTTATATCCCGGATGAGATGAAGGACTGAGGAGTAAAACGGTAAAAACTGTCAAAATTTCATCTGATTTTTGTGCACAATTACAATACACTATACTCTGTATACTAGAAAAGTAAAAAAATCAAGATTTTTGCAATCTCGACGTTTTAGGGCTCCTTGAGTCGGAAAAAACATAGTTTTGCAATCATTTCCGTATGTCTTGTGTGTGTCTGTATTTGAAATGTTTCCCTAACAAACATAAGTTGTCGAACACTGACATTTCGCATACCTGACACATACAGGCTTTGTAGCATCACAAGAGAGAAAAACATACCCCAGCATTCAAAACACATTGGCCTCATTGGAATTTATACATACAGAAAGTGTTGATAGACATACAATAACAATAAAAAAAATTTAGCTATTTTATTTTATAAAATTTTCATGTTATAATTTCTAAAGATTCACTACATTAGAATTTTTATTAGGCCCTACAATGTTTGTTTTTTAAATAGTAAAGAGTACAATTAACCAATAACAATTAACAAATAATCACATAATGTTGAAATTAAGATACCAAAATGAAACAATTGCTGCTTAAGTACAAAGCAAGCATTAGTCAATGGAACAATAATGAGCATCTTGTTTATACATCTTTAAGCTATTGATTGTAAAAATTTTACTGGATCCATACTTAGTTCCTAGTAGAAATTTAATTTATCCAGGTACTAAATTACCATTTAAATTTCAATCTCAATTCAATTTACAATGTTATCTGCATTAGTGATGACAATAAATACATCTCAAGGACTAATATTAGATAAGAATTTTTTTTTGGGTAGCCAGATTTTTTACATATGGTCTGTTTGAGTTATACATTGCAGACCGTAGAGTCTGATCATATGATTTGAGATTCTATACCTCTCATTATAAAGATTAAGAACATTTAGTAAAAGATGAAAAAGTGTTTATAAAAAAAGATTGTCTCAGAAGTTTTGATGTCACTGTACCTGTTGGCCAGATGCCACTGTGACTGCTGGCCTGATGTCATTGTACTTGTCTAATGGAGGTTGTTTTACCTGTCAACCTGATATTCTGTCATGTTACTGTATGTCTGACGGAGCTGTTTGTGAATAGTGTAAAAGTGTAAAGTTAAGAATGAGAATTGTGTAACAGTAGGGCCTAAATATATTGTAAACATCTAGTAAATGTAAATAAATTAATTGAACTTTGTGTTTTGTGTTAGTTAGCTTCTGTTATTGTTAATAATGAGTGTAACTGGTTTGAGCATATTAAGTTCACTTCCTTGTCTCAATGAATGTGCATTGTCAATGTTATGTAATTTGAAAAGATTAGGCAAATTAACTGTATGGCCTGAGCAAAACCATGCCGGTATAAAAAGAAAACCCTGGGTTTCTAAAGTTATAGCTTACTTCTCCTATCATACACATTTACAAATAACACACAAAAAAGTAGGCTACATAAATGTGCATTTAGACTATGACAAATAACAGATTAATGTAGCTTCTCTCTTGAATGACTTTTTCAAGAGCACTTAAATAAGAACTTTGAGAAAATCTTGCAAACATATGTATGGCTTATAACCTGTAAAAACACTTATACGTCATAACAAATTATTCTTCTCAGTCAACTTTTTGTGACAAATATCACATTCATGTGGCTTCTCTCTTTAATAAATTGTTAGTGTGTGAAGATAAAAAAGAAATTTGAGAAACCCTTGGATGTCAAACATTACATTCTTGTGGCCTTTCTCCTGAATGAACCTTTCTATGTCTTCTTAAATTAGAACTTTGAGAAAACTTTTTATGACAAACATCACATTCATTTGGCTTATCTCCTAAATGAATTTTTTTATGTGTTCTTAAATTAGAATTTCGAGCAAACCTTTTATGACAAACATCACATTCAAGTGGCCTCTCTCCTGAATGAACCTTTTTATGTGTTTTTAAATTAGAATTTTGAGAAAACTTTTTCTGACAAACATCACATTCATGTGGCCTTTCTTCTGAATGAACCTTTTTATGTTTTCTTAAATTAGAACTTTGAGAAAACTTTTTATGACAAACATCACATTCATTTGGCTTATCTCCTGAATGAACCTTTTTATGTGTTCTTAAATTGGAATTTCGAGCAAACCTTTTATGACAAACATCACATTCATTTGGCTTATCTCCTGAATGAACCTTTTTATGTGCTTTTAAATTGGAATTTTTAGAAAACTTTTTATGACAAACATCACATTCATATTGCTTTACTCCTGTATGAATTCTTTTGTGTTTACTTAAGCCAGAACTTTGAGTAAAACTTTTATGACAAACATCACATTTATCTGGCTTATCTACTAAATGCATTTTCACATGTGTATATATTCTACATTGATAAGAGAACCTTTTATTACAAACATTACATATGTATTGCTTATCTCTTGAATGCTTTTTTTTATTTTTACTGAAATTACAACTTTGAGAAAGATTCTCATGGTCACCATAATATTCAACTTGCTTATTTTCTTCTTGACTTGTTTTATGTTTTATTAAGTTAGAACTTTGAGAAAATCTTTTGTGTTTGTTACTAGAAACAATCTGATATTTTTTGTCTCTAGAAAACTGGAGATTTTCTTCAACTTGAAGTTCAAGCCCTTTTTGTTGTTTATCCTCAAAACATAAAAATCCTGTCAATAAATCTGGTTTTGAATCTTTACTACTTGATAAAGTTGTGACTTCTAATTTGTTATCTTTAGATGTTGATAATGTTGATACAGCAGGCTTTTTATCTTTACAAATTAAAAACTCAGTTGTAACATCAGGTTTAACATCTTGCAAGCTTATAAATGATTTGTTGGGTGTAAATTTATCAAAAGATGAAAAACTTGAAAATTCTGTTTCTGTGCCTTTAGAAGATGAAAATTCTGTTTTAGTATAGGGTTTAACATCTTGAGAAGCTGTGAATGTCATGTTGGGTTTTGCATCAACAAGAGATGAAAATGTTGTAAATTCTGTTTTTATGTCTTTAGAAGATGAAAATATTGTTGATAGATCTGGTTTCAAATCTTCAGAGTTTAAAAATTCTGTTAATTTGTGTGACTGTTCATCTACAATAGACAACATTGCAGCTAAATGCTCTGTTTCCTCTTCCATTCTTGACTGCTTTTTTATAAATCAACTGATGATTAAAAATGTTATAAATGTTAAATTGAAAAGTGGTGATTATAAAGTCAGAATAAAGTATTATTATTAAAATGGCAAAATTAATGGCAGAAGGTCTGTTAATCTCTTCACACTGTCTGATGTGATCTAAAAATAGATCGCCAGTGATGCCAAGGCTATCATTAGATTAGGACTGCATATTAATATTCTTTAAATATTCTTAAAAAACACAAATTAGTAATCCAGCACTGCTTATTTTGGCTAACGATTGAGGAATTACCAAATGTGCTTCGATCCTTTCACATCCAGTCGAGGTTATATCAGTGGCGAAACTAGAAAAAAAGGGCCACCCCGCAAAAAAATTTCTGGGCCCTCCTATATAGTCAAGTAAAGTTTCCCTTTCAAACCTAACAGTCTATGGGGCAAGTGAAGTAGAGTTCACTTGTTTCTGTGACCTTGGCATATGAAGAGATAGTGTGGTCAGCACTATGCCCAGCTGCCTTTACTTTCCCTAACGTGAGTTAGGTACCCATCAGAGTTGGGTGGACTCAGGAACGGTCTACTGACTTGTACCCGGATTTGAACTCGAGACTTACGGTTAGCAGTCCACCTCTCTGCCGCTAGACCACTCCGTCCCATCCCTTATATATATATATATATATATATATATATATATATATATATATATATATATATATATGTATATATATATATACATATATATATATATGTATATATACAAACACAGAATACAAACATTGGATATTCATTTCTGGCCTGAACGGTTTTGAAAAAAAAATGTTTTTTTTTAATTTAAACAAATGACAAGTCATGTGTGTGAGTGCATTAGTCTGTTTTGAATTATTAATTTTTTTTACATTTAGTACTAGTTTATTCAATATGTTTGTTGTACTACTGCATACCCTCTATTCGTTTGCCGGTCAAAAGAATATAAAGCGTTATGTTTATTTTTATGTTTTTTTTGTATTTGTGTTATTTGTTTTAAATATATTTCCTTTTAATACTATGTCAATCTATAGTATGTATTTTTTTTAAAAATAATAATTAAGAGAAGTAATTGCTTTTTAATTTGATTAGTACAAATATATTAAAAGGAGCTTATGAGCACCCTTATTTGACTATTTAATAAGGGAAATAAGTCATGAAGTATTTTGAACGTTTGCCTATCTTTCACACTACAGCCCAGGCAGAGAATCTATGTATTTTTTTACGCAACAGCATGTGTTAGCCACTGTATATCATCACTGCTGTAGTAGATCTGTTTGTTATTTACAAAAGCTTTTACCGTCAGGTCAAAAATGCAAGAAATTTTTTTTTTTTTTGTAACTCTAAAAAATGTAATATGATCGGCCATGGCCCCCTAAATGGTGTGGGCCCCCCACGAGCCGACCCGCGGCTTATCATACGCCGCTATTTAGTTGTTTTATTTTCTACTTTTCAGTAATTCATAATTTGTGAATTCGACAGTACCACTGCTGTCACTGAAAATATTTGCTTTAAAACACTATCAGTAAGTCGTTAAGGAAGATACACCCCCCTCCTTTCCCCCAAACCTTACCACCCCCCCCCCCCCCCCCCCCCCGTGAAAGCAGCCTCCTCTTAGCTACCTGCCCTAATAGCCGTCACTAAACCCGGCTCTCTGATTTTAAACAATTAGTGTGAACCACAGCACATCAGACTTCCTAGAGAGGAAGAGAAGGGACTGCAAGGCGCACTTACAGCTTGTTTTCTAAAGTCTCTAAGAAGAGAATTATATATATAGATTTGTATTGAAAAAAAAAATTAATATTATTTTCTTAGACTTTCTAGCCCTGACCTTTTACCCTAGCCATTATCCCTTAACCCAACCCTTGACCCTAAACTTATGTAAGATATAATGCATTAAAGAAATAATATTAATGTCATTAGCACTAAGAACAAAAAAAAACCTCAATTAAAAGAGGTTTCAAGTGCAAAACCAATACTTAATATTTCTTCGCACTAGAGATTCTACCATGCAGTGCTAGAAATAATTTGTAATAATAATAATAATATATAAAATTGAACAAACTTCTCTTGAAAATTCTAAAATATACACTTCAATAAAACAAATTCTAAAAATATGTAAGCCTACAAATAGAAGCAAAATATAACCACAAGATGTGAGAGGATATAAGAATGATGCATTTTCTCTATTGTTGGTGGCCATAAGTATTTCCATATAATACATTTTTCATGTTTATTTTAAAAAATCCAGTAATTCCTAAGCTTACATTTGCAAGGCCACTAGTCATGTGATCTGTGTGTCTTTTTTACGCTTTATAATACAGATTTTTGGGTGCACAAACAACTAAGAAAAGAAAATTAAATGTATCTTCTCATTAGTTCCCCATTTATCGACCTTAGATAATTCTTCTAGGCCTGTAAGTTATTAAAAAAATGTTACTGCCACAAAATATAGTCTACATTTAGTAACTCTTCCAATGTCATTGTCTGCTTTGAACATGTTTGCAAAAAAAAATGATTCTGTAATTCAATTATTTACATTAAACTATTGCATGTAGCATTTGTTTTTGAAGTTAGAGACTAAATAGTAACGGCCAAGGTTATTCCCACCTGGTTGAGAATAGCACTATTTGGGTTATTTCCAGCAGACTAGGAATAACACCCACAGCTATTCACAGTTAGCTGTCATTTTTGCTATATACAACTGGGAAGAGGCCTAATATTTTACGATAACAAAAGCATTTATGGTGACTCGGGAATGAAGTATTGATTATGTGTTATTGTTTTATAAAAAAAATAATTATTATTAGTTTAGCCTTTGGTTCATATCTGCTGCATAGTGCGTAGGTCTTAGTCTCAGAGATCAATCATAAACTCTAACTAAATCTATACTAATCAATCAGGGATTTATATCTGCAATTATGTCAGCAAACATGTCACAAACAGAAAAAAAAATTGAAAATATAAAACCCTTTCCTTAACAAAATGCAAAAAATACAATTTGGACAACAGGTGGTCTACATCACATGCTATCCATAAAAAAGCATTTGATGGGTTCAAACCCACACTATCTAGCATAGTAACCACCCACATATCCACTTGACCACACTGCTTCATCAACATTTCGGCGTTTTTAACATTATATGTATAAAAGAAAACAGTCACAACTGTGAATAGCCTTATAGACTGGAAATAGACACTTTGAATAGTAAATAGACTAGATTAACATAAAAATATTGAATCAATACTTACCCTAGCCTTTTAACTTATTATTTACTTATGTATTTAGCTTTAATACAATGTTAAGGAGGGAGCTTTTGGTGGCAACCCAATGTGAATGGGCAAAATAGGAAATCATGTTGAAAGCTATCACTACTCTTTCACTATCACTGACTGTCAGTGTAGTCTTTCAAGCAAGAAACATTAAAATAAATTGTTTTCCTTTAATTTTATCATGATTTGTGTGCAGATCTAGAATAGATCTAGATGTTTTATTATAGTATGGCTAAGTATAGTGTTAATAAATTCAGAGAAATTAAAATTGTGTAAAAATTCAATTTAAATAGGCCTAGGAGGAATTTATATACCAGTGTCCGATAATACAATCTTCTTTAAAAAGGGGGTGCTAGGTTACTGATAGTTATTGCTGACTGATGTCAATGCTAACCCACCCTGTCCTTAACCCTAAGCCCTAACCCCAGTTACTATGAGTAGTAAGTAGTTAATCCTAGATCTAGATCTTGATCTACCATACGCGATACGCCTAACATTTCTAATAATATTAAATTACTGTAATCTATCGTTTTATGTAGATCTACGTAAAATGATAAAAATCGCCCGCGACTAGATCTTGATCTAGGACCTAGAAGATCTATTATTAAAATCTATAACTACGAAAAACAGGTGACTCCTTAAATTTTAATAGGCCTAATTATTATTATTTCACATTTTGAGGAGGATTTCGGGTAACCTATCGTTTTGGGTACGTAAAATCGCCCGCGACTTGTAATGTGAAAACCAGGTGACTTCTTAAATTTTAATAATTATTTCACATTTTTAGGAGGATTTACGTTTTTTAAAATACAAAAATGTTTCCTTGTTTAATTTATGTAGATCTACCTGTTTTTAAACAATTGAATTAAAAACTTTTCCGTAATAAATGAAGACTAGCGATGTTTCCAACAGATGCAACCATGCTCATTTACTATAGCAGCCATCTTGTCTAAGTTTTATTTTTATAAGCTTTTAGCGCCAGATTCAGGGGGAAGCCACTCTATTTTACAAATGGCTGCTGTTTATATAGCAAATCTTGCTCTCAGACACTGCTGTTTAAAGTTAATTTCTGGCCTATATTGATATATTTAGCCATTGATTTAGGTTTATTATTCATTTATCTATAATATTTGACACAAACATATGACAATACACTTCTATTAAAGCCTTGACAATGAGGTAACATTTTCGTACATTAATAGCCGCGGACGATTTTACGTACCCAAAACCGTTTTGTTACCGGATTTCGATCTGTTTTGAAAAATACAAAAATGTTTCCTTGTTTCATTTACCTGTTTTCAAACAATTGAATTAAAACTTTTCAGTAATAAATGAAGACTAGCGATGTTTCCAACAGATGCAACCATGCTCATTTGCTATAGCAGCCATCTTGTTTATTTTTTTAAAATTATTGTAAACTTATAGATCTAGCGCAAGATTCAGGGGAAGCCACTCTAACTCACCAATGGCCGCTTTTTATATAGTAGTTAGTTGCACACAATTTTTTAAATTAGTAAAATGACAAAGTAACGACGGGTTTGTATTAAGGGGACTAAATGTTGCAAAATGATACCAAAATTTATGTTTATAGGATAAACGGTTCTCTAGATATGACGGTTTTAGTGTAAAAATTGCGGGGACAACTAAGCCTAAGCCTATGGAAAACGAAAGCAAAAAGTGGTCACGTCGAGAGCGTAGAAAAAAGTCGAAAGGGAAATAACTCTGCGTAGGCGCACAATTATAAAATTTTCAAACAAGTATTTATTAATGCATTTACAACTGCATAGAGGAAC